AAAGACATATGCACCTCTATGTTTATCACAGCACTATTTACAACAGCCAAGATATGGAAGCAACCTAAGTGCCCATCAGTAGATGAATGGATAAAGAAGATGTGGTACATATACACAATGGTATACTATTCAGCCATAAGAAAGAAACAAATCCTATCATTTGCAACAACGTGGATGGAGCTGGAGGACATTATGCTCAGTGAAATAAGCCAGGCGGAGAAAGACAAATGCCATATGATTTCCCTCATTTGTGGAGTATAACAATGAAGCAAAACTGAAGGAACTAAACAGCAGCAGACTCACAGACTCCAAGAAGGGACTGGCAGTTACCAAAGGGGAGGGGTGGGGGAGGGTGAGTGGGGAGGGAGGGAGACGGGGATTGAGGGGTATTATGATTGGCACACATGGTGTAGGGGAGGATCATGGGCAAGACAGTGTAGCACAGAGAAGGCAAATAGTGACTGCGGCATCTTACTACACTGATGGACAGTGACTGCAGTGAGGTATGGGGGAGGGACATGAGAATATGGGTGGATGTAGTAACCACATTGTTTTTCATGTGAAACCTTCATAAGAGTGTATATCAATAATACCTTAATAAAAAAATTGATAAGAAAAAAAAGGGACCTCACAGATTCAGAGATGATATCTGATGAAGGACTTGTATGTACAATACATAAGAAGTTCTATCAATCAATAAGAAAAAGACAACCTAGTAGAAAAATGGGCAAAAAAATCTGGACGGGCCCTTCACAAAAGAGGATATCCAAGTAGCCTTTAAAGGAATGAAAAGGTGATCACTAGGGAAATGCAAATTAAAGACACAGGACACCACCACCACTAGACACCCACCAGAATGGCTAAGATGAACACGATAAAATCCCGAGGGCTTAGGAGGACGAGGAATTATAATAAATCACTGCTGTGGAATTCTTGCCAAAAATGTATGACCTCAAGCTAGTTGTAGGATGACATGAGAATAACCCAAATTGAGAGGAAGAAGGACTGAAGCCCTGTTACAGACTAGAGATGCGGAAAGACACACCTAAATGCAGTGTGGATTCTGCACTGGATCCTGGACTCCTGGGCCAGAATTAACTTCATGGTTTTAAACTGGTTAGTAGTTATGTAAGACGTTAGTGTTAAGGGAGACTGTGGGAAGAGAAGATGGGAACTCTGTACTCTTTCTGCAAGATTGGAATTACGTCAAAATGAAAACTCCAAAAAACCTCAATGGATGGGTTAAATAGCTATAAAACAGAGAAAAACCTAATTGGAAGAAATTATCCAGAATGTATTACCAAGAAGCAAGAAGATGGAAAATATGAGGGTTAATATAGCATCTTCCTCTGCTGATGAACACTGACTGCAGTGGGGATGCGGGGGGGATTCGATAATATGAGTTAGAATGTTGAAACCACAGTCCTGTGAAACCTTCATAAGATTGTATATCAATGATATTTGGAAAAAAAACTCATTAGGAAAAGCATAAAAAATATGAGAGTTAAGAGACAGAATGAGAAGGTCTGATGCACACTGAAGTGGAATTTCAGAAGGAGAGAGTAGAAAGAATGAGATAATGAATAAAGAGCAATAAATATATAAGAGGTATAAAGATAATGGTTAAGATTTCCCAGAACAAATGAAAGACATGAATATAAAGATAGAGGAAGACAAACATATTAAGTGAGGTTAAATAAAAACAAATCCACAAGACACAAACTAAAGAGCAAAGATTTGAGAAGTGGCCAGAGACAGAAGCGGGGCCGCTCATACAGGAGCAGCAATCTGATGGCGGACCTCTCAACTAACAATGGAAGCCTGAACACAAAGGAAACATACCTTCAAAGTGTGGAGAGAATAAGCGTCAACTCAGAATTGTGTCCCTGGCAAAACTTTCAAGAAAGGACAAAATAGAACAGGTTTACAGATAAAAATAGAGAGTTTACTACTGCAGACCTATTAAAAAAGAAGGTCTAAAGGAAGTCCTCTACTTCAGAAATAAAGAAGATGTGAGATGAACAAAGAAATGTATGAACATATAGGAAAATCTAAACAAACACTGCATGTATAAAATAATGATGAAACTAAGAAAAACGTCACTGTGGGCACTGTAAAACAGGAAAGAATAACATAATAGAAGTTGGGAGTGGTGACTGAAGTTAAAATATATACGAAGGTCCTTGAATCATTCAGGAGGTGGGGCTGGGACTTTGTTAAGAATGCTTGGTAAAATTTCAAGGTAACCTGTAAGAAAAAAAGAAATGGAGTATAACTTATAATCCAGTAAAGGGGAAAAACAGGAAAAGGAAAAAACAGACAAAAGGCAAGGGAAGAGACCAAAGCAGCACAGAAAAAGCAGAATAGGAAGAAAAAAGTAAAACCAAAGTCCAAATATATCAGCCATCATAATAAATGTAAGTGGAATAAAAGTGCCAATTAAGAGAGAGAGATTGTCAGATTGGATAAAAAAAGAAAATCTAGGCATATGCTGTTTACAAGAGATTCATCTAAATCATAAAGATACAGTGATGTTAAAAGCAAAGAGTTGGGAAATGATAACATAAATATTGAAGAGAACAAAGCTGAAATAACTGTAGCAGCATCAAGCAAAACAGACTTTTAGGTAGAAAGCATCGTAAAGACCAGAAGATTAACTACATCGTGTTAAAAGATTCTTCAATTCATTAAGAAGAGTTAACATTTTAAACTTGTATGTACCTAATAAAACAGTCTTGAAATGTACAAAGCAAACGTGGATCGAACTATATGTGAGAAATACACACATCTACGATATTTCAATTACTGACAGGTGAAGCAGATAGGAGTGAATGGGAAATGAACAACAGATGGTCAGTGTAGATAACTCTTCTGACAAGTTTTGCTGTGAAGAAGACAAGGTGGCTGGAGAACATGGAGAGGAAAGGAGGGCTTCTAAGAAGGACGATCCTAGAGTTTGTATACTGACAGGAATGAGCCACACAGGGAGAGAGACTGGCAGGGCACTGGGGACACCCCTGGGCAAGGAACACGAGAACACGGAATGCTGAGCCCAAATAGAGGCATTAGCCATGATGGAGAGGGACCGAGACTGGATACCAACCCAGGCAGAGAGCGTGAATAGCCCCCGGGGCACGGGGTCTGACCTCCCATCCTGTTCTGCTATGGTCCCTCTAACTGCCCACCTCACGGAGGCTGCACGATCTGAGCCCGCGTCTGAGATTTCTGGGCCTGTCTCTGGGTTCACAGTGGCTGGCGCAAGTGTGGAGAGGCAGGAAGATGTATGGAGACCTTGGGGCCCCTGGGGATGCCTCCTAGGGCCAGTCACTGCATCACAGCCAGCCTGGGCAGGGGGAGGGTCACAAGGAGCCAGAGCTGGCAAGTTTCCCTCTCTGCTCCTATGGCCAGAAGAAGGAAGTAGGCAAGGAACCGAGAAATGCGGAGGAAGTGGGGCCACAGAGCCCCTGCTGACACCACGGGAGCAGATGCTGGCTGCTCCAAGAGCTTCCCCGCCTCTCCTTGGCCTTGAAGCCGTGAGCTTAGGCCGGTCCCTGATGCAGTGCCTGGGGGATCGCCAGGCTGCCTCAGCCGCTGTGGGTGGGAGACGCCCCCTCACCTGGCTGGTGATGTCTGAAGGCATGGGTGAGGGAGGCTTGGAGTAGGTGGCGTCCTGGGAGATGAAGCCAGAGTCGTGGGAGGAGACGCTGGAGAGGCGGGCGGTGGCGGTGGCTGGCTGCGCCAGGCTGCGGTAGCGACAGGTGGAACTGGGTGAGTATGTTTGGGCACCCCCAGGCCATGGGGCTCCTCCACCCTTGGCACTGCTACTGCTGCTGGGGGCGCTGGGGGAGTGAGGGAGGGGGACACAGCGTCCAGATAAGGAGACACAGGGGTGTGTGTGGAGGGGGTGACAGACGAGGGTGGGGGGACAGAGGTGAGGGCAAAGGAAGGAAAAGACAATGTCAGACTACAAGGTCCTGAGGCCGCGGTGCCAGAGATGGGTTCTGGGGTCACGGCACAGAGCAGGGACTGGCCAGGGTCAGCACCGAAGAGCTGGCCCAGCGTCTGCCCCGCAAGTGTTTTGTGCTCAGGGCATGTACAGGCCCGAGCAGGTTCTCTGCTCTTACTCTGCCATTAAGGACTAGTTTAGTGATGAGGAAACTGAGTCACTGAGCCTCAAACGGTTTTGCAGTTGGGCTAGGACTAGACCCACGTCTTATCATTTTTAGACTGCCTTCTCAAAGTCTGATATTTGTCATCAAATCCTAGTTATGTGATGTCCAGTGTTTTGTGATGGTCCTGGGTGGGTCCTGGACCCACTGTCGCCCTCACCCCTCCACCTGCTTGAGGGCTTCCGGCCCTCTGTAGCTCACATTCTCCCTGCAACCATGTCCCTCTCAGGCAATGTTCCTGGCAATGACTGTCGCCTTCCTCCTGAGCATGACCCTGAAGCCCTCTGTCCCCACCTCAGTTAGGGGTGTCCCGATATCAACACTCCCTGCTGTGATGGTTCCCCACCTGGGGTCCAGCAGCCCCGAGCCCCATTCTCCCTGTGGGAGTAGCTGACCTGTGTGCCTGGCTTACCTCCCCGGGCCTGGTGCCCAGGCAGACGTGGTTCTGGGAAAGGGGTACCTGGCCCAGAGGGGTCTCTCTCACCCAGAACTCACTCTGTGTTCACTGCCATCCCACCTGAGAGGCCTTGAACCTTATATGTCTCCTCCAAATCCTGCCCTGGTGCCAGTGCAGGAATTGTCCCTGATCCTGACCTGCCTAGTGATTGGGTGAGGCCTTGGGGACCAGACTGGGACAGGGTTTGGGCCTGTGCCATCTGCTGGGCACCAGCTCTCAGGGACCAGACTTATCTCTGGTCTCAGCACATGCTTCCAAAGGTTCCTCAGCCCTCCCCAATCTTAGATTCTTACTATCCCCCCAGACTGTGCTGAGCCTGGCAGAGCCCAGCGGCTAAATGCTGGGTCTCTGAGCCTCAGTTTCCCCTTCTGCAAAATGGAGGGAGCACTATACCCAATACAGTGATGTTAGGATTCAACGAGAAAAATGCATAAAGCATTCAGCATGGCACCTGGCACACAGTCACTGCTCTGTAACTGGAGCTGCTCCTGCCCTGCCCCCTGCTAACACACAGCTGTGCCAGCAGCCGTTGTGCAACTGGGGTGGATGTGTCCTCTACACTGGAATTCCTCGAGGATGTATTGGTGTAACTGATGGGGCCCGGAAGCAACACTCGATGCAGCTTTGGTAGGAACTTCCCCATTCCCTCCTGGGGGGCCCTGCCCCTCCCCACCCCCCATCACCCTCCCATGAACCTGCACATGCTGGACTTCCGGGAGCTGGAGCTGCTGGGTGAAGAGGGTGGGGTCTGGTAGGACCAGCTGTAGTCTGAGCCCTTCAGGTCTTTGATGACCTGGACAGGGACAAATGGGGATCACTGGACGCAGTCCACCCAGAAGTTGTCATTTTTCCTGGGGCCCCCCAGAAGGCTGGAAGGTGCCCTATGCTCTTCCTTCTGAGGACCAGACCCCAGCAGGAGATGCCCCGCTGAAAGTCTGAAGCCCTCCCCCCAGCCTTGCAGTGGGGGGATGTGTGGAAGCAGTGATGCCGGAGAGCTGCGGGGGGACAGCGGGGGAGACTCTGTCTTAGTCTTAGGGATGACGCTCCCACCAGAGCCAGGCCCCCACAGCTGTCACACAGTGAGGACATGCTGAGGTCAGGCCAGGCAGTGGACATGACAGAACCGGGTGCTCCTGAGGACTCACTGCCCCTGGCAGAGGAGCCAGGCAGAATGACCATGGAGGACACTGTGGGTTCAAATCCTGGCTCTGCCATGCCGTTCAGGTGAGTTCCTGGACCTCTCCAAGCCTCAGTTTTCTCCTGTGAAATGCTGCGACTGTCCCTGTCTCAGAGCGTCTTTGGGGTGCTTCCATGAGGCGACCCGGGCAGTGCTTAGCATAGTGTGGGCACACCGGAAGTGCCGGTGGGATCAATGCCGCGGCGCTGTCAGGAAGGACTGACTGCAGTGCTGTGGGAGCACGTGGGGTGTGAGGTGGGCAGCGCAGCTTGTATCGGTAGGCACGCCTGGGTCTCAGGGAGGTGGCAGCTCTGGGCACGGTCAGTGGGCAGGTGTCACCAGGCCTGGCTTGTTCAGATGGAGCCTGGCAGCCGATGCAGAGCCAAGCCGCATGGAGCTGGGACTTCTGCCCTGGTGCCCTTGAACCGAGGCCCCGATGGGCCCTGGCCACACCACCCCTCACCTGGGCAGGTTCTCTGGGATGTCCCACAGTGGTTGGGACATGCCTGGTCCTCTGTCCCTTTCTTCCTCTATTGTCCCCAACCAAGGACAGGCCATTCCCTCCCCTGTCCCCAGCCCCAGGGCTGGCCGCACCTGCTCGCTGGCGGCAGGCAGCTTATGGGGCTCCGCAGTCAGCACCACCAGATCGTCGATGATGCCCTGCAGGTGGGTGATCTCCCCCAGCATGGTCAGCTCGCCGTTCTGAGGAGGCAGCTGGTCAGACCCACCGTCCTGCCCCCGCCCCCTCCTGCCCCACGAGGGCCAGGCCTTATCCTGCCACCCCTCCCACCCTTCCCAGCCAGCCAGCGCTGCTTGAGCGGCACAGCCTGGGACTGGTGCCGCCGTCTGTCCAGCCTCAATCAGTGCATGATGAGCTGCAGACTTGCCTCTGGGCCAGGAGCATGTGTTCCCCCCCGAATCCCCCAGCCAGGGACCACTTGGAGGTTAAGTGGTCAACCCTGGGCCTGACCCAACCTGCTGGGGCTCCGAGTGGCTCAGAAGGCCTCACATCCAGTAGTTCCCAAGTTCCAATTCTTGGAATTTCTTGGGATTCTTAGGGACCCCTCAACTAGGCCAACTGTGGGGATGCCTCGAATGTCTGAGGGACCCACCACGACAGGCTGCAGGAAGGTGATGAAGGTGCAGAAGCGGCCGCGCTCCTCGATCAGGGCCCGGCGCACCGCCTGCTTCTCTGTCTCCTCCAGCAGCAGGTACATGTCATTGACGTCCTGCAGGGCGCTGTCCAGCTGGGGCTGCAGGTCTCCTTTCCCTGGAGGAGTTGGGAGGAGAGGCCGTGCTGGAGATGCCAGCCTGGCTTGCCACATCCGTGGTTCAGGCCCTGCGTTGGTGTCCCTGGCTGTGGGGCTGGGCATTGCCATGGGGGCCAGGGGACTGGGAAGGGCCATCAGGCCTCTGGGGCTTGTGGAGGGGCTGGTCCCAGGGCAGGCAGAGAGGACAGACAGACAGAGACAGACACACAGAAGAAACACGGAAGCTGCAAAGCCACCCAGGACCTGGGCTGGACGGAGCCCTGGGCAGCCCCAGGGCCGCCTTTGGGGCCACTGTGCTCAGGGGAGCCCAGCGGAGGCCTCTACAGAAGCCGATGCTTCCATGCCCCAAGATCCCCTTGCTGCCTGTAAGATGGCGCCCCCTTGCCTCGTGCCACAGGGAGGCATGCCGGAAGCAGGACAAAGTAGAGCACGGGGGATCAGCTGTAGGCCAGGCCCTGGGGGGCACCTAGGGCTCTGGAGGGCTGGGGGTGCAGAGAAGGTAGGCCTCAGGGTGGGCTCCCACTCAGCTCAGGGAGCGACACACAAGGACAGCAACAGCGACATGAAGCAGCAGCGAGAGAGAGAGGCGAGAGGATGATGGAGAGGAGATGGTGAGCCAGGAAGTGGGGACGACAGGTACGGACTCCAGGCAGGGTAGTGGGGGCGCGGCAGCCCAGGCCTGTGCCCCACCCAGCCAGCCCTTCCCCTCTTGGCCTGGCAGACTGACCCAGCAGTGGCCCAGGACTCCTCCCTGTCAGGGGGCCCCAGGGGGCCCAAGGGGACCGTGGCCCCGGAGAGGCGCCTTCCGGTGGCCCTGAGCTGGGGGAGACAGACAAATGGGACAAGGACGCGAGGAGCAGCTGGAGGACGGACATTTGACTTACCAAGTAGCTCTACAGGAAGATGTGGGAGGAGAGGAGAGACAGAGAGAGAAAGAATGTGTGAAAGACAGCCAGACGGACAGCCTCTCCCAGGGGCGGGCGGCCTGGGCCCTGGGGCCTCCTGCTGCAGCCCGCTGAGAGGGGAGGTCCTGGGCCAGGCCTGGGGTGCAAGGAGGTTCCCTCCGTCCCGCCCAGCAGGTTGGAGGGTCCTGTGTATAAGAGAGGGCCCCCTGGCCAGGGTGATGCCCTGGGGCATCCCACAGGGTGGCGGGGGGTATGGAGTGGGGCCTGCGGGGGCTGTGCCTCCGGGGTCCGCTCAGGGCTCTACCTTTCCGAGCCTTCTTCTGCAGCTTCAGCGTGTCCGAAGACTTCTTCTTGATCTCATGCCGGGCGCGCTTGTACTCTGTGCGGGGCGGGGTGAGAGAGGCTGCTGGGACGGGGGACGCTGCAGGGGTGCGGGGAAGCCCCGGCCCACGCGCAGGCCCCACCTTTCGCGTGATCCTTGTCCAGCTGGTTGGCTGACTTCTTCCAGTCCTCGATGCGCTCCTGCAACGGGTTGATGAGGCTCTCCAGCAGCGCGCTGTGGGCGGGGGCACGAGGGTCAGGGTCAAAAGCGGGTCGCCCTACGTCACCCTTCACCTCCAGCCCCGGGGAGCCTGCTCACTTGGTGAACTGACGTAGCTTGGTCTCGATGCTGCGGTGGCGCATGCACATGCGCGTGAGCGCGGAGCCGATGTCCCGCGTGGCCCCTGGAGAGGCAAGCGTGTGGCGTGGGAAGGGGCTCGCAGGGGTCTCTGCAGTCCCGGCCTTGGCCACCAGGGGGAGCGCCGGCCCCGAAGGCCCCGCCCCCAGCATTCCGCAGTCCTGCAATCCGGCGGCCCCTGCCGAGGATTTGCTCATTCCTCAGTATTTGCCGAGCCCCTCCTCCCTGCGGGACCACGGCCCTGCCCGCCCAGGCGGTGCCGCCTCCTGGAGCTGAGGGAGATGTGGTGGTCAGGCCTGGTAGCTTTCTTCACCCCAGATGGGTGAGGCCAGCGCGAAAGACCATCTAAAGAGCCACCCCAAATCCCCTCTAGCCCTACCGGGAACCCATTCCAGCTGTGCCCAGATGCAGACGTGAGTGTGTGAGCAAGGGCCCATTGCCTAGGGTCTCACCACCCAAAGGAACAGGGGCCCCAGGTCCCTGCTACTTGGACCAGAAGGCAGAGGAGACGCAACACCGACAGAGAATGCTTGCCTGCCCCCGTGTGCTCTCAGAGGGGCAGATGAGGGTGCAGGAGAAGCCACAATCAGACTCACTGTAGGGAAGGGTGAGCACATGGGGCAGAGGGGTCAGGCAGATGGTCCAGAGCAAGAGGGGCCCCCACCCAACATCTCTGTCACTGGGCACCCCTACTGCTTACATGTCTCTAGTGTCGGGAGGCTCTCTCCACAACCAGCCCATTCCATTAGGGAGCAAAACTAAAGGTCCTGACTCTGGGTCTGCTGTCCTCTTCCTGCCTCACATTCCACTCAGTCTTTCAGCCTCCAAGCCCACCTTGGGGCTTCCCCAACCCCCAGCCATGCCCCCTCCCCACCTCGGGTGTTGGTGGCCATGTCAGCCACTTTCTGGAAGGCATCCAAGAAGGCCACAGCAGCCAGCACAGTGGTCCTGGGGAGATGGACAGTGGGACAGGCTGTGGGTGAGGTGTCCCCTCCCCTGCCCATGCCCTCCCCCACTGGGGCACCCTCAGCAGCCTCACCTCAGCTGGGAATGCAGCTTTGTGGCCTTGGAGTTGAAGTCCTCCCAGATGGGGTAGGAGCTCTGCCGAGGAGATGGGAGAGGAAGTGAGACTCCGTGGGGTGCAGGGCTCCACCTGGGCTAGGCCCCCGGCCTCTTGCAGTTTCTCAGAGAGCAGTCCTGCTCCCCTGGAGAGGGAGGCTGCTGGACGCTCTGGAGCCATGGGGCGGGAAGGAGGCCCGGCCTTGGGAGCAGATACCTTTGCTCATCCCCCATCCTTCCAGGAAGACGGAAACAGTAAATGGCACATTCTGTCTCTTCCAGGCTCCTGCAGGGCTAATCTGGGCTGGACTGCATGAGGGGCACCATGTGTCCCAGGCCAAGCCTGGGATGGTTCACATGGCCTGGGGGGCAGAGGCACAGAGGGTGGTGGCAGGGTTTAAGGCATGCCAGGGCGAAACTGGGGCCTCCAGGGCCCCCACCCTTAGCCCCAGAAGCCACTAGCGGCTGGCCAGCTCTCCATCCCAGGCCAGCAGAAGTGGCTCCCAGGCCCTGGGAGACTGTGGCTGCTGCAGGGCCCAGCCAGCCTGCCCCGGACAGCCAGGCCCCAGGCTCAATGGGGCCTTGTATAGGCAACAGAGCCACCTTTCTCCACCCCTGGCTCCCTCCCCTCCTGGGGACACACTGTGGCCTTTATCCCAGCCTGGCCCAAAGTTCCAAGTTGGGAGGGGGTTTCCCAGTAGGGAAGCTGGGCTTCTGGAGGCTGAGTTGTCCAGTCGGATCAAGGGGCTTTTCTGACGAATGCGCCCTCCCATGGCTGCTGGGTCTTGGAGAAGCCTCAGACCTGGTCTAAGGGCCCTGAAGGTTGAAGGCCTTGAAGGGGAGTCTGGGGTCAGCAAAGCCCAGTGCCAAGGAGCTTCTGACGCTCCCTTCCATGTGGGATGGGGCACTGGGGGCTGAGCCTTTTCCCAAGGGAAGGGGAAAAAGCAGAGACCCCAGCCCCCAAGGCCTTAGAGGGAGGCTCTGCTGGGCTGGAACCCCAGGGGCAGGTTCCAGATGGCCTCTCCAGCTAAGGACAGCCTGCAGGGGTGGGAAGGAGACAGGGCAGCTTCTGGGAGCCTTAGAAACTCCCACCCCTCCTAGCCCAGCCCACCCAGTGCCCAGGGAAAGCAAATATTTGAGAAGTTCACACAGGCTGGAGCAGGAGGGGGGCAAGCTGTGTGTGGGCTGTCTCCATGCGGGCACAGCTCAGGGTAAAGGGGCGCGGTAGATCATCCCTAGCAGTCCTGAGGAGCTGACCGTCACCTCAGCACCCCCTGGGATGGGGTGCGTGTTCCAGCTTCCGCTCAGCCCTGCTCACTCCATCCTGGACCTTCACAGCCTCGCGTCTCCCAGTGGGGAGAGGACACGACAGGGCGTGGGGAGGCCAGGCCCAGTACTTCCTCAGCAGATGGACTTGAGCACCTTGGTGTTTAAGGACCTGGGACTCCAAATGGTACCCCCCAATTGGTAACTCAGAAAGGGCCTCAGGGACCACGAGGCTGGGGGCCTAGAGCACCCAGTGGCCCAGGCTGCCAGGCTTTTAAGACTGGGGGATTTTCACTAATGATTGCTACACACTCAGCTCTTTTAAGATGGATCACACTGAGTCCTTACAAGTGTCACCCCACTACACAGATCAGGGCCCTGGACCTGAGGCTCAGAGAAATTAATTATCTTGTCCAAGGCCACCACGTGGCAGGGTCATGATCGGACCTCATTGGTCACTACATATCAGAGGATAGGGACCCCCTACTTCTGGGGGTTCAGGGAGAAGAGTATCTGGGCACCAACGGTGAGGAGGTGATGGGGACTGCAGGGATGGGAGAGGCAACCGGCTCTACCCGCACAGCACTTTGCCCTGGAGAGACTAGAGGTGCTCAAGGCGATGGGACGAGGCAGATGTGGAGGCCGCCCAAGCTGCTGGTGGTGGTTGTGTTCAGACGTGGGTTGTGCAGGTGAGCAGTGCAGGCTGCAGTCCCAGAGAGAAGGCTTTCTGGGTGACCCTGGGCCTGGCACCACTCTCCAAGCCTCAGTTTCCTAACTTGCAAAGCCAGGGTGGGAACTATGCCTGTGTCACCGGTCAGTGTGGTGACCCAAGGAGGCACCGCATGGAAGGAAAGCACATGGCATGGTGCCCAGCACATAGGAAGCGTTCAGTTAATGCTGGCCAGGAAGGCAGGACACAGGGTCCCTGCCTCTGCTAGGAGCCCTCCGCCCAACCAGTGCCTATGTGTCTGAGTGATGCACTCCACTCTTCAGAGGGCAAACAAAGATTATGATCCCATTTTCTGGAGGGGCCAGTGCTGGGTGGAGGCTGCTAAAGAAACAGCCTGGGCTATGGACCCCAGGTGCTGGGCCAGTCCTGTGTCTTGGGCAAGTCCCTGCCCCTCTCTGGGCTTCCATGGGCAGCCTGGCACCTGGTGGGCATCTGAGTAAACAAGGCACAGAAGGAAGGGTGGGCGCCTGAGGTTGCCCTCTCCCCTACTAGGCTGGTACCCTCCCCTGGGCCCTCCAGCTCCAGGTGCAGCTCAGAAGCTCCCCGTTCCCCGCACTGCCACCCAGGCCAGGGTGTGGGCCTGCAGGAGGGCTGCGGAGAGGCCGCCTGGGGCATGATTGGTCTCCTCCTCCTGGCCGCCCTCCTCTGTGTAAGCCCTGCTGCTCCTGTGCCTCAGGCCACTGAGGAATACAGCCAAAAGCTGCCCCCACATCCAGGTGATCGCCCTCCAAGTGGCCCAGTCCCCTGCTGTCTCTGGCCTGGATGCACATATGTCACAGGTAGGGGAATATTGCTATTTGTCATCAAACCAGGTGACACCTCTCCCAGTGTATCTCCACTTGGAAAATCCTGCCTGAATCTCTCACTAAAATCTGGGCCCATGTCCTCCTGCCCCATCCCAAAGTTCCCTGTAACTGCCTGGAGAGGGAGCGAGACACCCTGCTCCCCTAAGTGAAGCCGCTGCTCTCTGCAGTGTTAGTGAGAGGCTGCCAACAGAAGCGGGGTGCGGGGCTGCCCAGGGTCCTGCTGTCCCCCTGCCCCAGGGGCGGCTGGGGAGGGCGGACCCAGCTGCCTGGTCCCAGGAAGGGACTCCAGCACCAGGGCTGTGATGTCCACAGGGTTTGGGGGGTGGGGGCTGCAGAGGGCAGAGAGAGGCCAGGATTTCTGAGGGTTGGCAGGGGGCCTGGAGGAGGGGTTACAAGGAATGGAGGTCTCAGGTGAGGATGGCGTTAGGCTTCTTCTGGGGGCAGGGATCTGGCAGCTGCCCTGGAGCAGCAGGAGCTCCCTGAAGGGCCTGCCTGGGCACTGTGTGGCACCGTGGTGTGTGGTGTTTCTTCCTGGGCCTGCCATGTCCCTGTGGGACTCTGCGTTGTGTACTTGGGAGTGTGTGATAGGCCCTGAGGGTGGGGACCCCGAGGAGTTCCTGTGAGGAGCCCAGTTTTCTTCCCCTGCCCTTTCCCCACCTCACAGTCCTGCCCAGGAGGAGAAGGGTAGGAACACTGGTTCTGGTCCCCATCCTGCCCCTGGAGCTGGACCTCTTCTGCCCAGGCAGCCTAGGCCAGCCCTGCCAAGCCCTGCCTCTCTGGGGGAACGGATCCCCCTCGCTCCCTAGAGCAGCCATGAGGAGTGAGGTCAGGGGCAGCGTCCAGCAGTCTCCTTAATGACCTTGAGCCATTCCCAAGCCTCAGTTTCCCGTCCAGGTGAGCCAGTGGTAGGCCAGGAGTGGATGGCCTGCTCTGCCTGACCTTGGGTGTCATGGGGCCTGAGGTGGCGGTAGGCCCTTCCTAGGGTTCACTCCACCAACCCCAGCCTCCACCCGGCTCCTCCCAAGGTGGGGATGGGGGCCTTGGGCTGCAGGCACTCGGCCGGGAAACGTGGTGTCCTGCAGCGTTTGGGGCTTGCAGCGAGGGCCGGGGCTGTGGACGGTAGTTGCAGGGTCGGGCGCAGAGGCCGAGGCTGGCGGGGAAGGAGTTAACGGTTCTCCGCTTTATTATTTTCCCTGCTTTGGCGGTGACAGCATTGTCTGGGCTGGGGGTTGGGGGTGCGGTGCTGGTAGGGGGCGGAGGCCTGCGAGATGGTGGTGGTAGGGGGCGGAGGCCGAGGGACCTCAGACCCGTTAAAGGGCCACAGAGTCGCCCCCAGAGCTAAACCCCATTCATGGTTTGGGGATCTAGGGCGCAGGGAGCCCGTGTATACGCAGGCTCAGGTCGGGACCCAAAGGGGGCGCTGCGACCCGGGCGACCGGCCACCGCACGGACACCCCGACACACGGGCACCCATACCCCACAGACGGGCACCCGGACACCCGGACGCACAGCAGGCGCAGGCCGGCCACGCTCAGAAAAGGACGCGCAGACACCGCGGCGCGCGGACACAGCGGGGCACGGCTACCCGCCGCCACTCGTCCCCAGAGGGGTCACGCACCCGCACCCGCACGGCCGGCCAGCCCC